GGGGTGGGGCCAGGGGCCAGGCACAAGCGCACCCCTCGCCTTCGGCGGGCCGCAGCGCTCCCCAAGGCCCCCGCTCTGTGCCCCCATAGAGCCCAGCCCGGGACTCCCCAGCGCCCCCCGCTCAGTCCATAGTGCTGTACACACGACTCTCCCTAGACACGTCCAGCCACTGCACTGCACTGCACTGCACGCCCACTCCCCGCGCGTCTCCGCTCCGCACGGACACTCGCTCCCTGCCACCCGGCCAGCGCCTCTCCGTGCCCTGCTCTGCCCCCATGCAGGCTGGAAAGGGCGGGCCCGGAATCCCTGGTGTCCCTCTCACTGTGCGCAGCGCGCATTGCTGCGGCGCCCTCGGGGGCGCTGGGTCCTGGGCCCTCTTCTCAGCCTCCCGCGCCTTCGCTCCGCTGCCCTTTAGCGTTCGTATCGCCCAGCTCGTCGCGGTTCAGTCTGTAGGGTCAGGACGCGCACGACAGTGCTCCGCTCTGCTTTGTGTGCGGGCCTCAGCCCAGCTCGCTCCGGCGCGTGTGCCCAGAGCCTTCTCCTGGCTCAACGCTGTGGCAGTGCCATGAAGGGTTTGCCCGTGGCCGCGGGGAGTAAGAGTAGCGCCAGCTGGCGCTGCCTGGCCACCTGACCTCGTTCCGCGCTGTGGCTTCGCTGTCCGGAGTCGGGAGCAGAGCGGTGGCCGGTGGCTTACAGCGCGTCTCTCCCTGGCAGGTGACGGCAGAGGCCCGATGTAAGTTGATCAGCTGGTTGCTCCCTGTGCACCGGCACTTCGGCTTCTCCTTCGAGTCCCTGTGCCTGGCGGTGAACACTCTGGACCGATTCCTCACCACCACCCCGGTGGCTGCCGACTGCTTCCAGCTGCTGGGGGTCACCTCGCTCCTCATCGCCTGCAAACAGGTACCGGGCAGGCGTCGCGGGCGGCGGGGCCCCATTTCCCCTCAGTGCAAATGACCGGGATGTCAGAAGTGAAGTGAGCTCAGTGACGAATCTGGTCAGGCACGAGAGCTCCCCGGGAGAAGCGCTCAGGCGCAACCCTGCTGGAGTCGCGCAAGTTCCTCTGCTTCGGGCCCGCGGCTCAGGGTTTCTCTCGCGTCCCTGTGCTCTGTGCGGGGTAGCACAGCGCTAAGCACTGCGGGGCCTGCGAATGCGGAGCCGGCCGCGTCTCGTTGTGCTCCCGCAAAGCTACCTTCTGCTCTATGGAAGCGCGGGTTGCTCTCCTGCCTCTGTGGCTTTGCACTGCAGTCATGCGTGTGCTGGCATGTCCTGCAGGTGGAAGTGCACCCGCCCAGAGTGAAGCAGCTCCTAGCCCTTTGTTGCGACGTCTTCACTCGCCAGCAGCTCTGCAACCTGGAATGCATCATCCTAAACAAACTACACTTCAACCTGGGGGCACCGACCATCAACTTCTTCTTGGAGCACTTCACCCATGTGCGTATGGAGTCCTGCCAGGAAGATGCCAGGGAGGCATACAATGCCAAAGCTCTGGCCAAAGGGGTGGCCGAACTTAGTATGGCCGACTATGCTTTTAACGATTATGCCCCGTCCCTTCTGGCCATTTGCTCCCTGGGACTGGCAGACCAGATGTTGCATCACCAAAATCCACTGGACTTGCATATAAGTGGCTACCCGGAGGGGGTTTTACAGGAATGCATGGACAAACTGCATTTACTGGTTTCTTTAAATGGGGACTCATTACCACATGTGCTACCCCTGGAGATTTCTGAGAAGTGCCTACACCTAGGAAGTTAAGCTAACTGGACCATAATACTTAAAACCTTTTTATGACATCCAAAGCATCTGTGACATTTAAGAGCAGTTTGGTCTATTTTCATGAGTGCATTGTGTTTTTATAAATTCATCATTTCTATACCTCTAAAGATAACAGTATTGGCCTTATTCTCTTGCTTAGTTGGCTAATCAATGTATTATATTTGTATTTATTTATACTAGATAGTGATGGTTTAGAGTTTTGATATGATAAAATTAAATCACATTTTGCACATTTCATTATTGTATGTTAATTGCACTGACTGATTTTATAGATCTATATTCAATTTGTATATACTGTATATCATCCAAGTACTGTATAGTTTATTTATTTAGAAGATGGTTCACTACGCACACCTTCATAGCAACCAAGGAAGAGTGAAAATGGAGAAGTGTTTCTAAATAATTTTTTTGTCTCTGATCAATAATGGTCTGTGTCAGTGTGACTTTTGTACATATACCACAGAGGAAATTAATTGCCAGAGAATTAACAACATGACAGGACCAAAAATACTAATGATGCATTATTATATTATTTGCCATTAAAAACATTTGCTTCAATTTATTTATATTCCACATCTGAAAAATTAGATGATGTAACACAGTCAGTGAGTCTGTTTATACTGCCTGCTGGGCTAAGCATCCAGAAAGTGGCAGCTGCTGGCTGAGGGCTTAGTTCTGCAAGGAGTGACATGGTTGTAGTGGTGGCAATGCCATACTGTGCCATCTCTGCTTCTTTGTAGTGCTGCTGACAGCTGTGCCTTCAGGGCTAGGCTCCCGGACAGAAGCCGCTGCTCTCCAACTGCTCAGCTCTGGGGATAGTGGCACTGCAAGCCCCACTCCAGTAGCCTTGTCACTGCTCCCTCTACCCCCTCCCAATTTTTTGGGCCATGACTCCTACAATTACAATACCATAATACATCTGAAATAATGAAATTCATTCATTTTGAGGTCTTATGAGTGAGGCTGGCCAGGGTGGACCATGAATGTGGTGGGGCCTTAGCTGTTAGCAAGGATGGGCTGAGATGGTGTCCCTAACTCTTTTTACCCGAAGCTAGGAATAGTCAACAGGAGATGGATCATTTCATGATTACCGGTTCAGTTCATTTCTTCTGGCACTGAACACTATCAGAACACTGAACCCTAGGCTAGAAAAACCTTTGGTCTAACTCAGAATGGCCCTTTTTATGAGTCTCATCCCTGCCTCCACCCCAACAAGTAAGTTCATAGGGGTACTATGCCTCCTTTTTTCATGGACCAGGCAAGTCTGTAATGTGGAAGCACAAAGCACAGCAATGTGAACAGCATTAATAATGCTGCCATCTAAATGTATCCGTAGACATCTATGATCTGTCTAAAGCACATTCAACAACCATTCTGCACTGTCTGAGAGTATAATTAGTCTTTTGCCAGGCCTCTGAAATCAAGCCATGGTTTGATAAAGCCAGGGTTCCCCAGAATAATGGTGGGGATAGTAACTTGATTTATGACAATGTAATTTGGTGGGATCAGACGAATTAGCAAATAATTATTGCATTTTTCCAGGGCATCTCACAATGACATTCATAAACATTCTCTGAAAGGGCTGATTACCTCACAAACCTCTTCCACTACTTTACCCACCATCAACTTCCCCACACCAAATGGGTTTGCAATGGACTGTCTTGGGTACAGCTTTCATACAGCAACAGCAATAGCAATCTCTTTTAGGACAGGCAAGGATTCTCTCATACATATGTCTTTTTGCTGGAGGGTTGGGACTCTCAAAGCTCCAGAAATGTAGCTTTCTTCATGCAAAAGTTCTGGATCCATTGTTGGTCAATGGATAGTCTGCATGACTATGTGACCCCACCAATCTGTGCCTTTGGCCCTGCACCAGAAGCACCAGTGTTTGGGGGTGGGGGTGTCAACAGCTATACTGAATGTTATAGGAGGCATCAGTCAGCTAAAGTCTACCATGCCTAAGTTCTCCTTCTGCTGTTCTGTCACCACCAAAATGTTCATGGCAGCTCTGCCCATTTCCTGACACAGGAGAGAAAGCACAAACAAGATAAGTTGTTGAAAATATGCTTTGCCATGTCACTGGCTTTGGTAGTGTGCAGACCAAAATGACTCCTTGGCAGGCTGTGTTGGGGTTTTCACATGTCTGGAAACCAGTAATGTGGCCAGTCAAGTGTTCCTACCATCAAAGGTCTACAGTGGTCATATTGCAGGAAGGTGTAGGGGAGTCTGGACTATGGCTGAGGTCTGTGTGCGGCAGTGTGTATAATAGAGTATGATGCCAAGTCTGGGTTTCCCCAAATCCTGCAGCCCCGTAGCAGCAAGAACAGTCTTTGCCAGCCAGAGAATAAAGAGAGTTTATTGCTCTTCCAGGATACAGCACAGCATAGATGTGATATTGCTACAGAAGTCTGGGCCAGGATGCCTCAGATCCCTTGGGTTAGGGGAGGGTCCATCACCCCCCTAGGCCTTCAGCCCTCAGTTTAGGCTCACCCCCTCCTGTTTCCCAGCCATCAACTGACCCTTCTCCTGAAGCCTCCTGTTGGTCTCCACCTCTCTCTGGGTATGTCTACACTACCCCCCTAGTTCGAACTTGGGGGGATAATGTAGTCATACAGAGTTGCAAATGAAGCCCGGGATTTGAATTTCCCGGGCTTCATTTGCATAAAGCCGGCCGGCGCCATTTTTAAATGCCGGCTAGGTCGGACCCCATGCCGAAATGAAGCCCGGGATTTGAATTTCCTAGGAAGCCTAATCCGAACTAGCTAGTCCATGCCGCGTGGCTACACGCGGCACGGGGTCCGACCTAGCCGGCATTTAAAAATGGCGCCGGCCGGCTTTATGCAAATGAAGCCCGGGAAATTCAAATCCCGGGCTTCATTTGCAACTCCGTATGACTACATTACCCCCCCTAGTTCGAACTAGGGGGGTAGTGTAGACATACCCTCCCTTTTTCTCTCCCCTGGGAATCCCCTGTTATCTCCTCAGGCTGAGCCCAGGTGTCTGGGTTAATACACATTTGGGTGAGTCAGTAGGAATCACACATCAAAGTGCAGGGGGACCCTGACTTATAGAGCAGACAGCACCCCCACTATTCCACATAGAGTCCCAGGTTCAAGTCCAGAAAAATCTTAATTTAGGGTTAACAATCAGTATAGATGCTCAAGCCTTGGGTGACTGGTGTCCCACTAGCTCCAGTGTTTACAGTGTTGTATAGGTGCACCCTCAGACATCATTGTTTCTCCTTCTTTATTCTGCTATCAGCCTAGTTTTAGAAAGGTTTTGGTAGGTCCTGACTCTGAAATATAATGTACCTATTAAAGAAAAAAAGCCAAAAAAGGGCCCAGCAAAGTCAAACCTATAGCTTGATTTAGAAAAAGCAGTACTGTAAATACAATTTTAGTTAAGGAGCTAAAATGCTTCCAGGAGAGAGAAAAAGCCTTCCATCTCTTAAGACACTCTTACCTGATGCACCAATAATGTAGAGAATGCAATTCATTTAAATTAGTTACAATTGTTTAAAAACATATATTGACATTCAAACAGGCCTGTCTGCATTTATTTCTCACTGTAATGTATTGTGAGAACCACAAGTAACAGATGGTTTGAAAAATCTCACTGCCTACTTTTTACTAGGACCCACTTCTATCCTGTAGTCATGGGGGGGGGGGGAGGCACAACTTACTCCTTTTATTATATATTTGTATTATCATATGGTCTAGGATCTCTGTTGTGGACCTGGATCTCATTGTGCTAGACACAGTTCCTGCCTTTCTTCTCTTTCAACTGTGACCCAGCTGCCAGCAAGTCTGGTCCAGTTTGTGCCTTTTGCAATAGCTCATATGTCCATCCATCATTATAGCCAGTTGTGGTTTGATCTTTTTGCACACAGGGTTGTGTCTGCACAGAGGTTTTGCTGAAATTTGTGTTACAGCTTTCAGAAAACACAAGTTTTCCACACACCGGTGATTATTTTTAGCATTTACACACAAGCATGTATGCACACAGCATTCTGCAGACCAGAGGGAAAAAAAGACAGACGGACACAAACTAAATGAGGGTGAAAATATAGAGACAAGGGGCCTTGGTTTTAAAATTGCTCTGGGCCAAGCAGTACCCAGTGTAATATAGGGAAGTATCCTGTTTTGGCAGAGAGATGGTTTGGAGAAGCTAAGGAGGTTTTCACCTTTGATTTCCATGATGCTGGGATAGTTACATTGCCCTCCCGCCCCCTCTTTTTGGCAGTCCTGTTTGAGCCTTTAGCTATGATTTTTGAAAAATCATGGCAGACGGGAGATTCCAGAAGACTGGAAAAGGGCAAATATTGTGCCCATCTATAAAAAGGGGAATAAGAACAACTCAGGAAACTACAGACAGGTCAGTTTAACGTCTGTCCCAGGGAAGATAATTGAGCAGGTAATTAAGGAAATCATATGCAAACACTTGGAAGGTAATAAAGTGATAGGGAATAGCCAGCATGGGTTTGTGAAGAACAAGTCATGCCAAACTAATTTGATAGCTTTCTTTGATAGGATAACGACCCTTGTGGATAAGGGAGAAGCGGTGGATGTCATATACCTAGACTTTAGTAAGGCATTTGATACAGTCTCGCATGATATTCTTATTGATAAACTAGGCAAATATAACTTAGATAGGGCCACGATAAGGTGGGTGCATAATTGGCTGGATAACCGTAGTCAGAGAGTTGTTGTTAACGGTGCTAAATCCTGCTGGAAAGGGATAACAAGTGGAGTTCCGCAAGGATCTGTTTTGGGACCTGTACTGTTCAATATCTTCATCAATGATGTAGATATTGGGATAGAGAGTACGCTTATTAAGTTTGCAGATGATACCAAACTGGGTGGGGTTGCAACTTCTTTGGAGGATAGGGACATAATTCAAAATGACCTTAGCAAGTTAGAGAAATGGTCAGAGGTAAACTGGATGAGGTTTAATAAAGAGAAATGCAAAGTGCTCCACTTAGGAAGGAACAATCAGTTCCATACATACAAGATGGGAAGCGACTGTCTAGGAAGGAGCATGGCAGAAAGGGATCTAGGGGTCATAGTGGACCACAAGTTGAATATGAGTCAACAGTGTGATGCTGTTGCAAAAAAAGCAAATATGATTCTAGGTTGTATCAACAGGTGTGTTGTAAGCAAAACTCGTGAAGTCATTCTGCCGCTCTACTCTGCACTAGTTAGGCCTCAGCTGGAGTACTGTGTCCAGTTCTGGGCGCCACATTTCAAGAAAGATGTGGAGAAATTGGAAAGGGTACAGAGAAGAGCGACAAGAATGATTAAAGGTCTAGAGAACATGACCTATGAAGCCAGGCTTCATGAACTGGGCTTGTTTAGTTTGGAAAAAAGAAGATTAAGGGGGGACATGATAGCGGTTTTCAAATATCTAAAAGGGTGTCACAAGGAGGAAGGAGAAAATTTGTTCCTCTTGGTTTCTGAGGACAGGACAAGGAGTAATGGGCTTAAAGTGCAGCAGGGGAGGTTTAGATTGGACATTAGGAAAAAATTCCTAACTGTCAGGGTGGTCAAATATTGGAATAAATTGCCAAGGGAGGTGGTGGAATCTCCCTCTCTGGAGATATTTAAGAACAGGTGGGGTGGGGCGGGGCTGGGGCCGGCCTGGGGGGGGGGGGGGCTGGACTCGATGACCTCTCGAGGTCCCTTCCAGTCCTATTATTCTATGAGAACTGCCCCTATTGCAGGAGAATTGCCCCTATTGTTCCTGCATGGCGGTGTCTGGAGCTATGGCCCACGTGAGCTCCTCCATCGCCTTGCTGTTTAAGCCCCGGGCCTGTGACCCCCCAGCTCCTTGCTACCGCCCGGGGCTATGCGCCCAGTCGGATCTCCGGCACGCTGGAGCCGGAGACCCGGCAAACAGACTGAGATCGGGGCTGTGTGGAAGGCCGGCCCGACCCTGTGGCGGCGCCAATGCGCGCTGCGAGGGCGCAAAGCTGCAGCTGCTGCGGCCCCAGGCGTTGCCCTGTTGCCAGGCTGGCTTTTAGCGCCTCTGCAGGGCGCAGATTGTGCCAAGTCGAAGGCGCCACCTCTGGCGCTCACTCCGCAGCCAGCCCCGCCCCGCCTCCGCTCCCCCTGGACACGCTGCCCTGGAGACCGCTCGGGGCCCCTCCAACGGTGTCAAAACCAGCCCCGTAACAGCCATGTGCAGCCCCGGGCCGGCCGTGCCTGAGAAGATCCGGGCGCAGAGAGCCGCGGACAGGGCGAGCCGCTGGGTTCTCGAAGCCAGAGCAGCGCCCGAGCCCCGGGTCCAGAGAGCGCCATGCAGAGCCGCAGCGGCAGGAAAGCCTTTGACAGCATCTGCCCCAACCGGGTGCGAGATCTGGGCAGCCGGCTGGGCAAGAAGCCAGCCAGGGCAGAAAGGAAGGTGCGTGGGAGACGGGCGCGCTAGGGGTGCGGGTGGGGAAGTTGGCGCAAGCGACTGGCAGCCTCCGGCAGGGACAGTTTGTGCAGCGGGGGTGCTGGTAGCCGCGGGACAGGATCGTGCAGCTTGGCGATAATGGAAACCGCGTCCAGCCAGGGGGTGCGGCAGCATCCCCAGCACCCCAGTTCCTCTGGCCGGGGCGGGTGGGGAGCTAGTTCCGCTTGCGCCTTTTGCCCCCCTCTCGCCGTTTTCCCCGTAGCCAGTGCCGCGGAAGAGCTTGGCCAGCGCCACTCCCGGGGTAGTGCACCGCGACCAGCCTCCCGACGCGCTGGAGCTGGGTGAGTCGCATGAAATGGGCATGGGAAGTGCTCGGACCCCCTTCCCCGCCCCGGGCTTGTGCCCAGCCTGCAAGGCGCAGGGCGAGACCGGAAAGTGTCCACGGGGCTGCGCTGGCCTCCAGCGAGCCCTGGCAACCCCCAGCTTTGTTCTCTTCCCTAGCGCTTGCAACCATCGACTGGCAAGAGTTAGCAGCCTGCACCTCGGTCTTTCAGCA